ATGAAACTATAAAACCAAAATGCATTCTGTATTCTAACAATTGGAGTACAAAGAATAATAACAGGTGAATGAAATGCATAAACACCACAAACACCTGGGGAGGAAGCATTCATAAATTTGAATACATATAGTTGATAAACGACTCCGATGAAACCATAAAACCAAAATGAAATTTGTGTTCTGGCAATTGGAGTACAAAGAATGATAGCAGGTGAATGAAATGCTTCAACAGCAACACAAACACCTGGGAAGCTAGGAAGCATCCATAAATTTGAATAATTTAGTTGATAAACGACTCCGCATGTGGACGTTTGTTGGAGCAGAAAGCAGTGGATTCTTAACAACACGAACCCATTTAACAGAATGTCGGAACGTAAATTAAATTCGGCGCGGTTGGAAAATACATCTTTCTACCCTGCGACTTTAATGGTACGATCCAGTAAATTACAACAGTAAAATGGCTCTTATTTTAAAATTACTCATTAAATAAAACCCAAAACTTCAGTGATGTCGGAAAAAATATGTTAAATCTTACTAATATTAAAAAAAAAAGATGTATAAACATTGTGAAAGTGTCGCATTTTACGATAAAAGACGCCGATTTAGCGAAGATGACGTCATTAGTGCGCTTGCATCAGGGAATTCAAGGTCAAAAGGTCAATTCAGACACTGATAAATTATTAGTCGAGCCTTTTTGTTTCCTTTATTCCGACAAAATTATACAATCAATCAAAACAAGTTTAATACCAGAAGAAAGCTAACGATTAGTATTTTCATTAACCGCTTGCCCAAAAGTCGCTTGACCACAGTGAAACGAGTGAGAGCTTGCGAGAGCGGCCAAAGTGTGATTGAAACTCGCTATATGCTCTTCTCCAACGCAAAAAGAGACGACATTGTGCTGGATAAATGTATTTTTTCCGACAAAAGTACAGAAAATTTGCATATGGTCTTTTTATATTATACTTTATGAAATGTTACCCGAGTGAATTCCGGGCGCCCCAATGCTGGAAAAGAACGCACATTTTAGAAAACTTGACTTTTTCATGAAAAAATGCTTATTTGTTCTATGCACGCAAGTCAGATTGAGCGGAGGATACAACGTTTCCATATGCCCCCCCCCCCCCAACAAAAAAACAAAAAAACATGGTTACCATAGTACTTTTGTAATAAAGGGTACTAAACTACAGGGATCTGGTCGCTATTCATAATGACAGTTGTTCATAAAGACTGCTAAGTTCCATTGACGATAATGATCGTCAAGTTAGACAAAGTTGAAGTTATTTCGCATTTTTTTTGAAAACTGCATATTTGGTGGGCAATTTTCGGAAAGTCGGTCAGCGTAAGGGTATATCATTTTTTTATTTTTTATTTTTTTATTTTTTTTTTGGTGGGGGGGGGGGGCTGGAAAGGGCCTTTCTTCAAGTATCTAAATCCAAAAAAGGGCAAGGGTTTGGCCAGACATGATCGAGCCACGGCCACAGAAAGCAAGCAAATTCCCCGAAATTTAGAGGGCGCTAATTGTTTTTCTGCATAACCGCTGGAGCGTGAAATATGGCATGGCTATGTGCAATTATAAGATAAAGATACTGTAAGAAATTGAAACAAAACGGAATTGGTATTAAAAAGTTATGGCAATTTTAGACTTTAAGGGGTCAATTTTTCAAGAATTGTAGAGTTTTTTGACGGAGACCAGTTTCGGATTTGAATTTCGAGTATGAAGATGTCATTCTAAAGGTCAGGTTATACGTCGCAGATGAAAGAATATCTCTAACTATCAAGAGGAATTTGATGAACCAATAACATAAATCAATATTATGAGAGGAAGATGAATAAGAGAGATCAAATAAATACATCACGAAGTAAGGAATGCTTTTCACTGCCAAACTATTGCTTTCACGTTTTATTGTACTTCCCCTGACAGAAGAAGCAAAGAACATTTGTATGACCTGTATAAGCATGACATATTGATTTATTTATGTTTGTTTTTTGTGATTGGAATCTGTTTTCAATTATTCTTGTCAAAGCGTCTCATTGACCTTGTTTAATAACTGAGGTCGAAAACATTTGGGAAGTACAACGTATTTTTATTCTTTTTATAAATCTGTATTCAGATACAAAATCACGGATGACATCAAACATAATTATTTACAACAAGCAAATCATCACATGTTTGAATAAGATCAAATTATATATCTCCATTTACTTGAAAACAGATAATAGATGCATTTCCTGTAAATCATGGATTATCTTCTTCCACATGTTATAGAATTCGCATTTCTTTCTTAGTTATATTTTCTTCAACTTCTAGTCCGTATTTTAGCATAGGGAAATATGTCTTGTTAATGCTAAAATACGTTGCTATATTTTTATTACATCTATTTACAACACTCGCTTTATATATAGCAAACGTCTTAATACAGTTCTCATAACCGTCTGCTTGTAGCTAGAAGGGGGTTAACTCATGAACTTTAACAGGAGTCAACAGCTATCGATTGTATCAAGCTATCGATTATAGCAAGCTTCGTTTACAGACCCTGAAAGGAACTACAACACAATCATGTCGCAAACCGATTTTAACCGGTAATGGTTGATAACTTAATGAGAGATTTGAAAACAAACCACCTACAGTACACTTTGGATTCATTCTGTATCTCTGGTATATAATCTATTGCTGTATTTACATGTACATTTCTCTACCCTTCTCTCTCTCTCTCTCTCTCTCTCTCTCTCTCTCTCTCTCTTTCTCTCTCTATGTACTCGTTTATTTATTCAGAAGCCTATCATATGTTAACATCACGTTCGTAATTCTCGTTAAGGAGCTACTAAATACCTCCTTATACCATAACACTACTGATTCGGTAGATTCTAAACCAAGATTGATCCCTGCCAAGCGAATAATCGCCCAAAGTTTATGGTTGTCTTGACCTTTTCTCAGTTTTCTGTAACTATCTCATTTCTAGGGTGGATAGCACGATGTTATGCCCATCCTCTAAATATCTCATCGTCATATTAATATGCTTATTCATGCGAATGCTGTTCATTTATATGTAATTCATGTGTATTAAACCTACTTAGAAATGTTTTAATGTGTTCTAATTCTTGGATATCATTTGATTAGTCTGAACCCATTTCCAATGTCATTCGCAAAAGAAATATATAGAAGCTTTATTTTACTTGAGAGAGAGAGAGAGAGATAATATATCATAGCTGTCTGTGTACCTTTCAGAATAGTAGTTTATGTCATAATATTATATCTTATGAATTTTATCTTTGAATTTATTCTCTCAAGCGTTATGTAGAATTGTTTCTACATTCCTACGTGTTTCATGTGCTTTTATTGTAAGCTGTACGTAATTCAGACTTCGGGATGCCATTTCAGCATCTTGATCAAAATATGCCCATTCGGCATTAGATCATTTCGTCCAATTATAAGTTTGTCCCATAATCATTTTGTCCAGTGATTTTATAACTTTATATCACTAAGCTTCTGTATACCTGATCAATCTCAAAAGACCTTAACCGATATGTGATTAATCAAACCAAAGAGATAGATATGCTTCGACTTTCAGGTCTCCTTCAACAAAGAAAATAACATAAATTTATATTCAGTTTACTACTGAATATGATCTTACGCAAGGTGATCGCAACGGCTCTCGAAAAATCAACCTCGGGCACTATCAGTTCGTAGACACAATCTGAGCATGCGCAGATAAAGGTCACTTGAACAAGCGGCTGGATACGTGCTCACGAAAATTAATATGTAATCATTATTCATGCATGCACCTGTGATGCATTGTATTGAACACAGGTGGAAGAAATATTTTCAAGAGGACAAACAAAGATCCACGAAAAGGCACAAAATTGGATTTATCTATGTTTAAAAGATATATGGATATTTGGGGTCATATGACCCATGTGTTAACTACAAACTGGTCTATTTCATTCGCCTTGTGCGTAACCATTTTAAAATGTGCGTACATGACAATGGGGGTATATTTCGTAATCATGACTTGTATGGGAGATACAATAGTGTATTGAATTTGCCTTTCAGTTGAATTTTTCGACAATGGTTGCCATCGTGTTAAGCTCAAATCAGCATGATTTATATAAAAGTCTAAAACATAAACAGTTACATTGGAATAAACTAAACGCTCACAAATCAACCCACAGAAATATAAACAGAAGATCCCAGTTAACATTACTATTTCATTAACACTTGACCCGAGGCGCTTAAAGAATAGTGATTTCGTGATGAGATGATATACCATTGAAAATGTGTTATGTGCATATTCATGCATAAATCATTATGATGAATTTATAAAACAAAACAGATTTTTTTTTTCTTTCCAAACACACACAAGCCAAGGAATATATTCTTAATTTTTACATAATCATATCACTCATGATTGCACTAGCTTCAAAGTGAATGTGTATATATCGTTTATATACATGTCTCTGTAAATAGGTTCCTTCGTTTAGAGATTTACTTTATGTCTTCCATTTTTGCTGAATCTTATTCTTAGATTAGAACACATCTGCCAATTATTAGAGTTTTATTTGCCTAATTGTGTTTATCTGGTCCAATACATTTGAAATAGGCTGATGTTGAGGTCCCAATGAACAGTTTAAAAAAATACAATCAGTATTGTACAATATAAAATATACAAAATTAATCAGTAGAAATAGATAACGAACATAAAGGGGGGAATTTTGTTCTTTTAAATTTCTGCTAGATAAATATATGAATTTAAATCTTGTAAAACGACATGAGCCTGAAAAATTGGAAATGAAAGAAAAAAAAAATCAAATTTCATGAAAACTTTGACTTGTTGAATTGTATATTTACATCACATAAAAAACTTTGGAATCTTGATAGGGTCCAGTGCACATTAACAGGATTATATCAAGAGAAGCCCTCCTGACATTTAAAGCAGATAAACGAGAGAAAAAGATCATCACAGGAGGGGGGTAACAGCAATGTATCTATCGCCCGCCCCCCCCCCCCCCCCCCCCTCTACTCAGTGTTATTTAGGGCACGTGTATGCAAGTTCCCTTCCTTGGAAGGCAACCCCTATCTCCGGTGTGTAAAGTCGAAACGGGCCGGATTTTTTAAAGCACTTTGTCGCGCGAAAAGTACCCCTTTACCGGAGATTCTGGGAACGCAAATGCGGGCCCTCCGATCCCGGACTGGTTGCTCGCTAGCTGATCGTTCGTTTGTTCGTGTCTCCTAAGATCAAGATTAAAGTAAAGTTCCGAAATTAAATTAAATTAAATTAAGCTTTTGAATTCCATCGCCCGATGGCTGCGATGGCCGTCCCATTTACAAGGGCCAGCTAGGTCTTCATCTCATGATGTGTATAATGCACATCATAGGCTGCTAGACTCTATTATTAGTCGCTTCCATGGTATTTATCATAGAAATGGCCAGGCTAGCGTGTAAAAAAAAATTGTTGGTGTGAAAACTGGAAGTTACAAGTTACTGGAAGTTTTTAACAGAAGACGGGTCTTTAATACATAAACTTTGAAACTGTGCCTCTCTCTGCCTGCACTATGCAGGTATATAAATGTCCAATCGTTAGAGTCTTGGTGTGCCGTTCATTGATTCATCTAGAAGGCGCATGCGCGAATAGATTTCATCCCAATCTAAGAAAGCGCCCTCTAGCAGCCTGGACTTGTCCTTGCCATCCTTGAAGGTGACTGTATAGGCACTGCGACCATGCATCACACGATTGTTGTCAAAGGCAACTACTTCTCCTACACATTGGAAATGAACAAAGAGAAGAGGAGACAAACATTATTTTCATTTATTCGACAGAAGTATACTAATGAAGCTATTTAAAGGCTCCTTGTTGGCCTACATAAGTATAACAATTCCGAAGGTCACAGAGCTTGATGATGATGATGAAGATGATGGAAACCTAAGTGGATCTATATATTTTTTGGTTTTTGTTTACAAATCTTAATTCACCAGCAGCAGTCGTGTATACAGGATCCATGAGTGCCGGACAGGGAATAAGTCCCAATAGTTCCAAAGTATTCTCTGGCAAGGGCGCAACAAAGCAAAACAAAAGGCCATATTTTGTGTCATGGGTAACTTTGTCACAATTTGGATGAAAATCTTTTAAGCCCCACCGCACTATTTTGGCCAGGAGTGATTAGACCTCCCTGTATGGTCACTGATGACTATCTCATCAAATAAGCTTTCAATTAACATAATTAAAAGAGGATCATGGGCAACCAATGGTCGCCCATTAGGCATTGTTTGCTATATAGAGGGCGCACGTAGCTTTAATTATCTATAAGTAGTGCGGTGGGGCCGAGGTGATTCAAGATAATCAGGTAGAGTGCTCAATCGTACCCCAACTTCCAATGTGCAAGGGCGCAAATGCTTTACCTTCTTTTAACTTGTAGTTAATGAAGTTATCCTGCCTGTACATAGCTTGGTGGAATTTCTTCAAGGCCCTGTAGACTTCCTTCACCTGACCCACTGGAACGTTGATGTAGGGCGACCTCGTCTGGTCATTGTAAGCCAACCCTTTGAATTCACCGTCATCTGTTAGTCTGAAGAGAAATTAGAGACACATTTTTTTATTTATGATTTAACAAAAAAAGTATTTTGTTTGTTCAAATGGGATACAAATGTATAAAATCAAATTATTCAAAAATTCTCACTCGTTCAAACCATGGATAATTATGAGGTGAAAAAGATATCAATGGAATTATGACGCTGAAACACATGTATTAAAGAATTAAAGACTGAGAAATATCAGCCAAAAAAGGGCGGGAAAAAAAAACAACAACATTCAAATCTGAAAAATATCGGCCCAAAGAGGGCGACAAAAAAAGGTTAGAAAAAAAAAACTCTCCGACCGACCGACCCATGTTCTGGCATCCAAAGGGCAATACAACAAGTTTTTATTTTAGGCCTTATGCTTGATGGTACTTCGTATACATTCTATTATTTGATTTATTGCTATAAAAATATCTTAAAGGCCCACTGCACTACTGGTAGCTACTTGCGCCCTCTATATAACAAACAATGCCTAATCGGTGACCATTGGTCCCCCATGATCCTCTTTTTCTTATGTTAAATGAGAGCTGAGTTGATGAGATAACCACCTGTCCAGTGACCTTGCAGAGCGGTCTAATCCCTCCTGTAAACTATGGCAGATAAGCTTTAATTTCTTTTCAAAATACTAATATTTGGGGAAATTGTCTGAAAAAGATGTTCAAACTTTCACAAAAATCATGCTTGTGCAAGAGAGAAAAGATTTTCTGTTGAATATAGCTTTTGGTTATTTATATTGTTGATTATACGGACGAATTAAGAGGCATTATGATATAACTTTTTGTTCTTACTCTATCATTGGTCTTGCCTGTTGGAGATGGGTATCGATAAAGTCCTTCCCTATGAGCCGGAAGTCCAATTTGACCTTTGTTAATATTTCAAAGGATTCTGGGTCTTCAGCTTTCAGCCTATCAACAACTCGCTTCGCATCAACGAACTGATTGTCCCCTCCCTCCACCTCACACTGTCGAATGCAATGAAGGAGTTGGACCTGCAATAATCCAAAATAAACATTATTTTCTTTTCATTAATTTTGCTTCTGTAAAATTACGCACACAATATAAGGCGAATAAGGTTATGCAAATCTCGATCGCAACGACTTTCGAAAAATCAACTCAATTTCAATACACTATTGTAAATCCCATAGGAATTATATTTGGATCACATAATTTACATTTCATTTCGTGACGCACAGGCTACTTAACTTGCAACAGATTGAGTTTTCGAGTAGTTGCGATAGTGTTACACATAATATTACGCACATATATACCATATTATCCGTGCTAAAAATGCTACAGAAAATAAGTGATAACTATATTCATCATTTGGCTTCCTCTATGATTAGGTAATGATTTGTACGCCTTTTAACAATGTATCCAAACGGGAATACAAATGTGTCTGGTCAAAACTCCGCCCTCTGTTGCCCTCTTGTTAGAACTTTAACCAAAAAAATGCTAACTGAAGAAAACCAAAATTGTTGTTTTGGAATTATCCGAGGCTCCACAGAAAACCCAATGTAACCCCCGGGGGGGGGGGGGGGGGACGTTATTTTTTTCTGCGGCACAGATTGGGGCATAGTGCGTGTTGAGCCTGGGGAGTACGTTCTTTCCCTTCTGAATAGTGTCTGCACGTACGTGAGACTAGTCATGTTCGCTAGCGCATAGCGCTGCGAAGAAGTTTGAATATCCATCGCGAACTATGTGTTTAGATAACATTCCTCTCCGTTTAAGTTAGTTAAGTTTTATTGACTAATTATTGTGATGTTCTCCTTATTGACGTGCTGCCTCCTCTTCAGATTTTCAATTTCATTTTAATTGTTGATGTAATGATTTTCCATACGGTAGTGGATAACATGTAACCCCTTTGTAACACTGTTAAAAACAGACCTCTACTACTAGTACGCACACGACCACTATTAGTCTGTAAATCAAGACCCCTTTAAAAAAAAGCCCCACTCTGTGCCGCAGAAAAAAATAACGCCCCCCCCCCCCGGGGGGGGGGGGCGTATCACAAAACTTGTCATCAGTGAAAAATGACACTTTTTGTTATAAGCTAATGAAATCATTGCTTTTGATTGGTTATCAACAGATTTGATACTGATTTTTGTAATTTGTCATTGAGAAAAGGCTTTGTGAAACGGGTCCCATATCTAATACCAGTCGTGACGTCACAATGTAGGCCGACACAGTGGCATAGTATGAGACCACTCATTGGGCATTGAGGGGTACTGAAACGATGAAAGGGCGGGGGGGGGGTATCGGTCTTACCCGGAAAAAGAATTGCAATTTAAAAGGATAGCGATTCGGGGGTTGTGGGAGGTGGTCACATCTTCTTTTCTTGTCCCTTTTCCTTTCCCATTTTCCTCACTTCATCTTTCTTTTTATCTTTTGTTCCTTCTACCACAGAAACAGGAATGGGGTGATTGCCTTCCCCTGGGCCCCCTAAAGCTAAGCCAATTGGTCCCATTTTTTTTGGTTTATTTCCATTTTTTACTGAAAATATGTTTGTGTTTTTTTAATTATTCTCACTCAACTATCACCATAAACTATTTTTAATTGTTATGTATATTTCTATTTTTTCTTTCTTGTCCTCTTACCGAGGTGTTTTATTTCACATTTCATATATTTTTGCAACAACTTACGTTTTAACATAATAAAAAAAGACAAAAGTAATTAAATAAATGTTTATAACCTTAACATTTCTTGAAAACAAAAATTTGTGTTTGGTCAATAAAAAACTTTGCTTATTTGCTATATAATAATAGTTTTAATTTGAAACTAATGAACAGACTTTTACTATTTTACTCTTTACCTTCATACCAAAGTTGGATCTACATTATGTATATTATGTATTTGCCTAAAATTAACATGAAGTTTATCACAAAGTTTCCCTTTTTCAATAAAATAACCTATAACTAATGCTTTTTCATTAATATTTACTTGTTCATGAAAGTCATTATAAAATAAGTTTTCAATGATTTTCCCCAGAACCCGAACTTGTTACATTTTAATAATGGTTATAGTATCTTTGGAAATGAAATTTAAAATGAACTTACCCCTGGACGGTAGTCATAGTAAGGTAAATCCACGTGTAAACCTAACTTACCCCAGGACGGTAATCATAGTATGGTAAATCCACGTGTAAACCTAACTTACCCCAGGACGGTAATCATAGTATGGTAAATCCACGTGTAAACCTAACTTACCCCAGGACGGTAGTCATAGTATGGTAAATCCACGTGTAAACCTAGCTCATTCGTCGTGAACGCCAAACTACTCGAGTCAAATAACTTCTCCACTCTGAAATCGGCTCTAAAAAATGGAGGGAAAAAAGTCATAATATGGCAAATCTTTTTTTTCTACATTCTCATATTTTTAATGGTACATTTTGCATAAATTTGATATATTGAACACATGCATAAGCCCCATCGATATTTATTACATTATTTATATTATGATATCATTTTCAAGTCCACACCAATGACTTTACTTTGCCACGGCCACCAGGACGTCCTCCCCTAAGGTGGAAAGACCAAATCCGCCAAGACTCTGGATTAGGCCTGGAGGCTGCCCAACACCAAGCCCAGGACAGAAGTGAATGGAGGCAGACCACTCGTAGGAGCGCAAGGGGACACCCCGTCCTGTGCACTTACGTCAGTAAGTCATGATATCATTATATTGATTATTCCCAAACCTAGTCATGGAGTATAAGCATCAACTTAGATAACCTAGATATTTTTTTTTATTTGTAAATATAATGCATGACCTCTAGTCAAAGAAGAGAATTCAAAAGGCACCTCGTTATATTATATTGCAGGGCCTCACGATTTATCAAGGGCGAATACAGTCGCTGAAAAGTTTTAAACCTACTACTTCTAAATGCTTTTTGCTTCTAAATTCATTTTAATTAGAGGAAAGAGAACACTTAGACGACAATGTGACTTTTTCGCTATATTGATAAAACTCGATGTCCGACCAAGCCATGTTACAATACAGTGATTTTTAACCCAGTATATAGGGTTGAAGTCAATATTTGATTTGTTTTTGTCTTTGCATTTATTTATTTCGTTCATATATTCGTTTTATTTTAACAGCTAACTCTTTCATTATTAAAACTGTTTTCCTGTGAGGCCGTGAACAATTATAGATTACAAATACAGAGGAAAGTGAACAAAGTTCGAAAACATACATATCCTTTTGTTATCATGGATTATTTGTTTTTTTAAACATACATCATGATATTAACACGAAGTAAAAAAAAAAAAAAAAAAAGAGACATTTTTGTATTTGTTTTTTGCTTGTTTGATTGTTTCGTTTGTTTGATTGATTGTTTATTTTGTTTTTGTTATTTTTTCATGAAGAACTTAATATGCTTACCCATAGCACGTAAACCTCTCATAGCCGACCCGGTCGCAGACTTTCTGGCAGATGCCATCATTGGCTGGTGCGTACTTGATCATAACCAGCCCGTACTTGACAAGGCTGTCCATCCAGTCATAGAGCGTCTTGTCATTGTGGATGAAGTCTTCATACTTGTAGCTTGGGATGGACCACTCCGAACCCCAGGAGACGGGCTCGATCTTGCGCACGACGTCGAAGTCGGTGCCGTCGAAGCGGTTGAGTTTGAGCCACTCCGACGGGATGGCGCTCTCGTGTTCGTCAGACCACTTGATCTGTTTCACAATGAGCAGAATGAGGGATGAGTAAATGCTTTGCTGTAGCCCAGGTCCGTACTTGACCGGCGTAGGTTTTTTTTTTATTAATTTTGAGTTGTGACTATTATTTATTTATGTATTTGGGGCACTGGTATTAATGATATCAACACATGAAATAATAATGAGCAATTAAGGTTATGTGGGAGGGGTCCGGGACTAATTCTCTTGTTTCGCCACCAGAATAAATTTACCAACACTTTCGTGAGGAATTTAATGATATCAAGGAGCTATATCTTCTACGGAAATTTCCATCAATTTTTGATTGATTGATGTATTGATTGATCGAGTGATTCGTTTAATTGTAATAAAAAAAGTTGAACGTGCAGCCCAAAGGCGTTATTCAATTACTTACAAAGGAAAATATACAAAATACATAGAAATCACGATATAAACCAAGAAGTACTATTCGTCGATCCTTATGTCGACGTTTGCTGGTTTTGTTATTTCGGACACATTGAGAATGTATTTTCAGCGTCACCTGCAAGATTTTTCCATCCTCCTTCAGCTCTTCCTTTACAGGTTTCACTTCCGGGTCAAGGTTGGCCATCAGCATGGACCTCTGAAAACAGCTTTCATGATAGCAGTCTTCACATCGACAGTTGTCCCGTAGCCACACGTAAGGGTATTGACCCTGAAAACCATCTTTCCATGTGACTTCGAACCAATCCTCAGAGGCATTTCTCGTTACCGCAGCAATCTCCTCATTGGTCGCGATGGCGGATTGTGTGTGTGCTGTCCTGGTGATGGTTTTGGAAGGCCGGTATGTACCAGATATAGGCAAACGGATCGGTGATGCGTTGCTTGTACTGGAAATGATTGAACAAAGAGAAAATCGCATCAAAATTAATATCTGAAATCTTATGACGGTGACTTACGAGTACCGAGTCCTTTTGACATGTTGGATGATGAAAGTATGCGTTCAGACCCCATCCGGAAGGTTAATTGTATCATTGACATTATGGACTTTTAGATTCTTCACGACGAGAATGTGGACTGCCTTTTTAAGGCAATGTGACGTCACTGCCAGTGCCTTAAAAGGACGTCACATTGCCTTCAAAGGGCAGTCCACGTTCTCGTCGTGCAGAATCTAAAAGTCCCTTTTAGTTGTAAAGGACTTCCTCTAAATTCTAGTGCAAGCAGATACTATGCAACAAAAAGACAGATGAATTAATGAACTTTATCAAAAATCGTGAGGTACGAATGAGTGGAAAGATCAAAGTTTAGCATTATGGCCCCAGGTCTTTTTTTATGATCCAAGGTTAACCCTCTCTCTTGTCATATTTAGTTATATAACATGAATGAAGAAATGAAAGACGATTGTTGACGTTTATATTAGCTCTATTGGTGTTTGGATTTATTAAAACCATACACTTGTTTAAATCCTCTCTAAAGTGTTGGGAGCCCAAATAATATGAAATTCACTTCAATTGTATAATGCAGTGAAAGAGGATGACCCGAATATTGATGAAAGACTGATACCAAATTTAGGGTTTCTGCGTACAACACAAAACCCAAGTTTTGTATTCTTTCATCAATATTCGTCTTCAAACACATTTGTTCCGAAAATCCTCGCAGAGTTGAGTGTAATGTGACATCCTCTTTCAAGTCATTACACAATTTGAGTGAAATTTTGCCGTCAATTTTGTTAGCGAATTTGGGGCTCCCAACACTATAAGAGGGTTAATACGAGCTAGATTGTGGGGCAAATTGTGAAGCGCTTTGTAACTGCAAGGAAAAGACGCTATACCAAATCAATAATTTGTGGATTAAACCCATGTTAACTGAAAGTACCATATTATCTTACATGCTCGATCTTATATGCTCTAACCCATTTTACAATGATCTTGGATGCCTTCTATCTATGTGAGCCCGTGTGTTTGTGGGATAAAATGCAAGATGCAAAGTTACATTACAAGGGCAAATTTCATACAGTATATTGGTCATAATCAAAACGGAATGAGATGAAATGATCACTAATGATCATTGTCAACCTGTAAGATAGACGTCCATTCCCTGTGCAGACCGTTGCCTTGGTTACCAGAGCACGTGACCAGTTAGACGGGAGGGCGTGGCGGATGGGATACGCCACGCCGCAATGCGGTAAACGAGACGCAGTCAACCGGAGAGCTGATAAGGCCATGTCGAAAGAGGGCGATCTTAACAAAAGATAGGAAATAAGTCGAATGTCATAAACATACAATTTTGACAATGTTCGTTTTGTTCATCCTATTAACTCATGATCTATTGGAACCGATCGGTCCCTGTATTGAGCCTTTGGCAGTGAATGAATTCAGTAATCAACGGGTTAGACTATTCATAGTGTTGCAATGCATACTTTTATCTTTTTATTGTCAATTCGTATACAATTTTTAATTGTGGGCAAGATCCCCCTTTCTCTCTTCCCCCTAGCTTCTTAACCTTTTGTCTCTCACTCTCTCTCTTTCTTCCTCTTTCTCTCTATCTCTCTTTTCTCTTTCCCTTTTTCTCTTTCTCCATCTCTCTATCTTTCATGCTCTTTCTCTTTCTTCATTATATCTTTTGGTCTCTTATATTCTCTTTCTCTTTTCCTCACTTTCCTTCCATCTTCCTCACTTTCTATTTTATTTATGTACATATTCCCCAATTCCTTCTTGTTCGTATGTTTGCTTTTATTTTACATTTGGTCCACAATTAAGAGTAAACATGTGATACGTGTACTTTATAATGTAAATGATACTGTTTTAACTTTTACACTTGTTTTTAAAATGCAATGTATATCCATGTGCAATCCAGTAATAACTGCGATGCACGATGCAATCATACCACACCATACCATAAACCATTCTCGTTATACTAAGTAAAGAAATGACCTTTATTTATTCGATTATTATTTAGATAAGCGCTTTAAGTAATAATACTCCTAATAAAATAGACACCGTGAAATAATTACGCCGCTTGAAAAAAGTGAATGCAAGCTCATACTCCTCGCTTTCGGTTGAGTTAAGTTGAATCCATGATTAAGAGCATGGTTCTACAAAATGATTTTTCATAATTTCTAAATCAAAATTAGAGGTATTAATCCGCTGACTGCCGGATTCTCCACTCGAAAATACATTACAACAGAGATAGCAATGTTGGCAATACCTAGCTACCTTTGCATTAAAGATAAACTTGAGTTCTGGTAATGATAAAAAATAAGTTACACTGAATGTTCAAGATTACAAATAAATAGCATGTGCCAAAGATTTTGCCCAAACGATTTTGGTAGAAAATGTATAGGGGCTGATTAATGAGCATAGCAATATAAGGAAATCAAGGTAAGTAGGCCCGATACCATGTGCTTAACACAGGTCACTATGTGCAAATGAGAGTTGTCGTTTTTATTGAAGATGATTTCCAGCAAGTTTTTGTGAGTTTGTTTTTATTTTACTAGTTCAAACAATCAATCTTCTGCAGGATAAACAATCCACAATGAATTACAGCCATGTTCTCTCGACATACGATGCCCATACCAGAGCTCAAGATTAGCTTTTAGTACAGTCTAAATAAGGTGCATTTTGCATTATCATTCAGTTGTTGTCTGCCTAAAAACTCAATTCAGGATGCAACATAATTCAAGGCAATCGAATTCTCTACACAATTTTTGGATTAATACCAAAACATAACAAACTAGATCAGGGAATTGATAACCCTACATGACGATCGGTACTCGGGGAAAAAATCTAGTATTTCTTTTTGAATGAGCAAAATACTTCTTCGTTGAATTTTTGAATTGCTTGCAGTTATCTTCTGTTTTAAATATACAATTATAGGCCTATACTTATATTATTTGACGAATAAAATGGTATCAAATTAATACGTTTATCTTGTTAGTCTTGAGGTTTACTGTACTTATCCAATTAAAAAAAATGGAATTCGAATAATAGAAAGGTTCACATCAGAGTGAATTCAAACACCACAATATTTCATCATATCTATTTACCCTCATTAACATTATACAACGTTAATCTTATATTTATTTACACTGTAAATTTGACGTGGGAATCCGGGCCCTACTTGACCCACAGTAAACCCGCATGTAATTATAATTCTTGTTCACGTATTCTAATACAATGCACATAATTATGATAAGCGATAACAAACTGTTATAAATGAACTTGCCCTGCATTGGGATAATAGAGATATCCAGTATTTGTATGATCAGCAATTTTAGTGCTAATTACACCATTTTTTATTTTACTGTAATACTGTCACACACTCACACTGTTTAACCTTGAAGGCAGGAGGGGGCCGGGTGAGAACGCATCTGTGCTTTAAACAAAATAGATTAGCGTTTATCATAGCGGGTGAGTGGAGTGGCACGGCCCCCTATCGAACAAAATTCACAATGGAAATTCAACTTGGAAACGTGTGAAAAAAAATCAGTGAGAGAGAAAAAGAGAGGGAGGGGTGGGAGAGAGGAGAGAGAGAGAGGGGGGGAGAGAGAGAGGGAGAGAAAGAAGGAGAGAGGGAGAGAGAGAGAGAGAGAGAAAGAGAGAAAGTGAAAGAAGACGCATGGACTATGAATCGTACCCTTTCATGATCAGTAGCTTTCTAAATTCGCATTTCATTTTCCGTGTTAGACCAGTGCCCCCACCCCCTCCAATCGCTCATGTGCCCCCCCCCCCTGGTTTGCCTCACGGTACACCATTTTACCGGATGATATCATATAGAAAGCCTATCGTGGGGTCTGCCATGGAACTATAGAGACAAACAAAATCATACGGTAATATACTGCTTAATATATGGTTTATAGCTTTTACCTTTCGCATTCAATGTTTGTGAAACTATAATTCTCCTCATATCATAACCTCACCCAAATTTGTT